GTGTTGGAAGACGTGTAGCCAGAGTGTTTCTTGGAGGCCAAGATGTCTACACTTCGTCTCTCATACTTTGGACATGTTGTCAGGAGGGAACAGTTGCTGGAGAAGGATGTCATGCTGGTAAGATAGAGGGTCAGAGAAAAAGAGGAAGACCCCCAACGAGATGGATCGGCCAGGTGGCATCATTGATGGCGTCAAGTGTGGCGGCGGTAGTTAGGTTGGCCCAGAATTGGACATTGTTTCGCGGGTCGCTATGATTCGGTTCCGACTCGATGGCACCTGACAACAACAACAAACAACAACAAGAAGGATCTGGAATATAGTCTGCTTGGAATGTCTTCCCAACTCATATCAGATATCCCAATATATCATATACCCTCAACGAGATGGATTGGCACAGTGGTGACAGCAATGGGCTCAAACATAGCAATAATTGTGAGGTTGGCATGGGAATGGGCAGTGTTTCATTCAGTGGTGCATAGGGTCGCTATGAGTCGGTACTGATTCAACAGCACCTAACAGCACAACAATATACTATAGAAGAATGCCTTTGATCTAATTGACCAGTTTACTTATGGATTTGGGGTCAGAAACAAGGACTAAAATCCCTTTAAAATAGTGCAGTTAAAGACAAAATGTGGATGTCAAGGGAGAGAGTATAGAATGTCATGGAAGAAGTCCAGGAATAAAACTAAGTGGGACAAAGAACCTAAATGGGGATGGTAGAGGAGGATGCGACAAAATAAACAAGGCAAGAAGACAGGAACAAGTACAAAATCGTGTGCAAAAATCTAGTAAATACATGAATTCATAAAACAACTAATGATACACAACAGCAACTCACAAGAAATCACGCAGGATGAGTGGAAGGCATCATTGTATTTTGCAACAGGAAGTTTTTAGATCAAATATGAAATGCTACTTTAAATGACTAGTTAGTATTACAGTAAATGGACCAGGACCTAGTATCTGACCTTTGTTAAGATATAGCTGGTCTTCTTATTGTGCTCATACTGTTATCACTATTATTAAAATGCTGTCTCGGGTTGGATGCTCCAAAAGCACATGCTATGGTTGCTGTTTGGGTACAAGATGTTTACAGAAATCAACATCTGTGGATGGAGGAGGTAGAAGCAGGATTATGCGATGGGAAAAATAAGTACCAGGGTTTTCCTGTGTATGTTTTCAACAATTATCTTTCATTTAAAAAAATCAAGTCACAAAGAACATATGCTTCACAATCTGGCTTATATGAAATAAACAAGTATCTAGAAACCAAAGTTTGCTAGGGATGACAGGGTTGGTGGGCAACAGGAGGAAGAGAAACTTTTTGCATAGAGGACATTAGATTTATGTTAATTACAGTGGAATAACTTGAAAAAGGATAGTGAGCATGGTTGCACAACTTGACTGTAATCAACATTACTGAAGTATACATGCAGAAATTAATGAAGCGACATATGTTTTGTTGTATGTATTCTCAACGCAATACACCACTACTCACTTAGCAACATGGCTGTTTTCCAAAGACAGGTCATGATGCACAAATCAGCATTATGCAAAAATGAGGGATGAACACATCAGATAGAAAATTGGAAGATGACAATATCATTACATAACTGCCAAGTTACATAATTATATAACTGTCAGACCACTGAGAATCATGACCCGATCAAGTTGACCCACAACCTTCACCACCACATTACTCTTTCTTGAGAGCAAAGCCTGCAAGAGCCTCAGTTAGCAAAACATTCAGAAAAGGAAAAAACGTACTCGATAGGATCAAGTTGTTAGCAGCAACTTGAAAGGTGAGATAGGAAGCTCAGGGGGAAGTGAGTTTATGTTCCTGGGGGAGGCATGAATGGGAAAAGGGGAATGAGAATGGCTGCACAACTTAAAGAATTAATCAGTACTGCCATGATGTACATATTGAACTTGTCACATTGGTGGATGTTTCAGTGTGTATATTTTCAACAACAGCATCAACAAACAGGTACAGAAAATCAAGAGCCATAGAGAATTATATCTTAACATGCATGCATTAATTTTAGGGCCACAAAGTTTTGTATGTTTAATTTTAAAAAAGTGGATTGGAGATGGAAGCATTCATTGCTAGGATTGGAGCCAGGTATAATCTCAACTACTAGGAGATTTCCGTAAGACCCTCATACTGAAGGAAATAACACTGCATGCAAGCAAGCTGTTTCAGAGCGCCTGAGAGAATGATCAAACACAAGCCAAAAGAAACCAGAGCTGGTAATACCAATATTAGCCAGTGTAGACAGCAAGAGGCAAAAGGGACATAGATCATTCTCTAACTAAAAGGTACAAGTCTTAGTGAATAGATAACATTCGTAAGCCTATATGCCCTTCATAACCCAATACCAAATAAATTTTTTTAAAAAACACTGTCAACATATAGAAAGGAAAAAATTCAAATTCTTATTTAAATATTTATCGATTTTACAACATGGTGGATGTAATTAAAGTCACTGAAACGTTGTTTTTGCTAAGTGCCATCAAGTTGGTTCCAACCCCCAGTGACTCTGTATAGGGTTTCCAAGGAGCAGCTGGTGAGCATGAACCGCCAACCTTGTGGTTCAAACTGACTTTGCATGAGTCCACAGCGCCTCCCCAGGACTCCAAAGTCACTGAGTAACACACTTAAAATTGGCTAAAATCATAACTGTTTTGTTATATGAAATTTACTGCAATAGTCTTGCTGAACTTGCTCTAGAATGTAAAGAAGTTAAAGGAAAGGAAGAAATAATGAAGTAAAACAGCTGAACAGAAGACTTCAAAGAACAGTTTGATGAAACAAAGTAAAGAATTACAGTAAATTGTGCAAAGACTTGGAGTTGGGAATTTCAAAGGGAAAACATCAATTTGAAGGAAAAAAAAAAAAAAGCTGAAGAAAAAAATTCAAGCCTTGATTGAAATATTGAAAGATCCTATGGTCTAAGTATAGAACAATGCAGGAAGCCTCAGGTGAAGATGGAAGGAATACATGGTCACTGTACCAAAACGTGGGTGTCACTGAAGAAATAAAACAAAGATTCCCTTCATTTATAATCCAAGCTGGAGACATTGAGTTCACAGATTACCTGTGGCTATCATCAGGGATGCAGTCAGAGAACTACACCTGGGAATGTGGGCAGCTGTGTGATTTACAGTACCGACATATGAAACTACTCCAAATTGGAGAGAGGATAAAGGATTACATACACGTAATGGAAAATTAGTCACATTCTGAAGTTCTTTATTGATATCAGAAGAAGGAACTGGAAAAATCTGGATGCAGAATAATATAAATAGATGCAGGAGGATCAGCACTGAACTGCTAACCACAAGGTCGGTGGTTCAAACCCACCAGCCACTCCTCACAAATCTTATACACTGTCTCTATAAGTAAAAACCAACACAACATCACTGAAAAACAACTTCTGAAAAAAGCTATTCTTAAATATCTCTGTATAGTTGTCACAAGTGGCAAGTATGAAGGCTATTTTTATTTAATTCCTTATGAGTTTTTGTCCTTCCAAAGTGTGTAACTTTTACCTTGGCAATAGCAAAATGTTACATTTCAAAGCTACTCAAATTAAAGTTTAGCAATATTCATCCATCCATTCTTTTTCTCTCTCTCTCTCTCTTTTTTTTTTTTTTTCCATAGTAGGATCATTATTGCTTTTGGTCCTAGAACACTCACTGTCAGAAAGAAGAGATCCAAGTTGTCTTTGGGTCCGGAGTGTCTCATAATATGTGTAAAGCCTTCTGGAGTGGAGAAAGGTAAACGATAAATAATTACAGTACAGTGTGCAATCAACCAGAAAAATAGAACTGAGAATGCTAGAAGAGGGAGCTAGGAAGGCTTCATGGAGGAGGAGGTGGTGACCTTTGACTTGGTCTGCGAATGTGTGGGGTAAGGAGTAAGCTGCAAACCTGAAGGAAGCAAAGGCAGTTTCTGAGGATAGGAAATAGCAAATCTTTATTTGCCTGATTTCAAAGACATGACTCCAGCTAGATCTACCCTCAAAGTCAGGAAGACAAACCTGCTGGTCATGAAGGGTATCCACGATTCTGTATTGGTTCACCTCCTGGTACTCTGGGACACATGGCCGCTAGGGCCTTTGATTCTCATCTGAAATAGTATTACCCTCCTGAGTCTTCAGATTTCATCCTGCCATTGTTTTATCTGAATCTCAAAACTAATTCATGAGAGTGTTTGCTATGCAACACTTATGCTTGACCATCACAGAGGCCACATAAAGGAGCATTAGGTAGACCAGTGATTCTCAGTCCCGATTGCCCATTAGAGTGCCCTGAGAACATCCTTCAAGTTTCAGTGTCTGACACACTAACTCTAAAATTTTTAAATACTTTAGCATGTGTCGTACAAACAGAAAAAAGAAAAATCAGGTGTAGAATAATTTGAAGATATTAATCGAAATGAAGTATCACTCCATGCCATAGAGGGCAGGATTCCGAGTGAAACCCAGTCTACCATTGTGGTTGTTGTTAAGTGCCGTCGAGTCTTTTCCTGTATAGGATTTCTGAGGAACGGCTTAGTGACTTTGAACAGCCAACCTTGCAATTCAAACCGACGTTGCTGTGGTCTAGTGCTTAATCTACAGTACCACACCAGGACCCTATTAAATAAGTAAAAATGTCCTTCACCAGTCATTCCTTGGAAACTCTATACAGATGGCTATGAGTCTGAACCAACTCAATGGCACTTACTTGCTCCTAGCACTCAATATGTTTGTTTGAATTGACTTTAACAAAATAAGTGCTACCTTATACTTCTGGTGTGGTGCTGTAGGATCAGCACTGGCCTGTGAATCACAAGGTCAGCAGTTCAAACCCACCAGTTTCTCCTCAGAAACCCTACACAGGGTTGCTATGAGTCAGAACCGTATCAATGACACTTAACAACAACAACAAAATTATACTCAGTTAGTGAAAATAACTTCTTTTTGGAATGAGATTTGACTTTGATACTTTCATCATGTAGAAACCCTTTTTCCACACATCACATTTCTTAAAGCCCTTTTCAAATCCTTGTTCCTGAGGCTGTAGATGAAAGGGTTCAGCATGGGGGTCACCACTGTGTACATCATGGTAGCTACTGTGTCTGTTTCAGATGAGTGAGATGAAGGGTTGAAATACACAGCAATGATGGTGCCATAGAAGAGGGAAACCACAGCCAGGTGGGAGCCACAGGTGGAGAAGGCTTTCCATTTTCCCTGTGTGGATGGGACTCTCAGGACAGCACAGGTGATGCAAATGTAGGAAACCAGGATGCAAGAAAATGGGGTGATCACAATGAGGGACCCCTCAGTAAAAATCATCATGTCATTGAGGTGTGTGTCAGAGCAGGAGAGCTTCAGGAGAGCAGATACATCACAGAAGAAGTGGGGGATCCTGTTATCTGCACAGAATGAGAGTCGAACCATCAGCAGAGTATGTAGAAGTGCATTCAGAATGCCAGTGACCCAAGGCCCAATGACTAACAGGGCACAGAGTTGAGGGGTCATCTTTGTTGTGTAGTGTAAGGGGTGACATACAGCGACAAAACGGTCATAAGCCATCACAGCTAGGAGGAAATTGTCCATGTCCGCAAACACAGTGAAAAAATACATCTGAGTGAGACACTCAGGAAAGGAAATGGACTGACTTCTAAGTATGTGATTGGCCAGCATCTTGGGGACAGTAGTAGAAGAGAAGCAGACATCCACAAAGGACAAATTGCTGAGGAAGAAGTACATGGGGGTGTGCAGGTGGGAGTCAGTGCTGGTGGCCAGGATGATGAGCAGGTTTCCCAGGACTGTGACCAGGTACATGCTCAGGAAGAGCCCAAAGAGGAGCTGCTGCTGCTGCTGGGGCTGCCTGGAGAACCACAGGAGAAGGAACTCAGAGACACTCGACTGGTTTGCCCCACTCATGGTTCCAGTTACAGATGCAGAGCAGAAATCTAGGAACTGAAGGTTTAGACCGTACAAGTCAGGCTTCAGCCATGGTCTTATTTTCTTTTTTATCAGAGTTGATCAGTTAGAATCTCCCTCAGATCCTACATTCCTTCTGGCTCCCCATCAAACATGATGCTGATCCCACTTGACTCATCTTTTTGATGTTTATAAAACCTAACTTAAAGCACACACAGACATATACTCACTTATCTCTATGGTTGTGTATATTCCTTTAACCTTTCCTAGTAATTTCTTCATGCCTCAGTTCCTCATAAAATGACCAAGGAAACCAGCTGACTATTACAGGGTTGATCTCAAGATCTAGCTTATGGATTCAGAATTCCTGTTTTTGCTCCCTAGAACTGCAAGATTTAATAGCAGAAGTTCCTAAGAGAACTTCATGTCTTAATAAGAAAATATCAAAAAATCTACTTTGTTGTAATCTTACCTGGGAGAGGTGGTTTCTGTAGCTATTGTGTGTTCTTCACCTCAGTATGACTGCCCAGTGTTTCTCTCTATGGTGTGAACTGGAAAGTCTTGGAAGGATGGTAAATTTCTGAGTAAATGAGAAGTTGGGGTTCATGGTCTTAGCTCTCTGTGCAGAAAAGCTGTTTGGGGGTATCACAGAGCAGGCATTTATGGGAGTCTCCATGACCATTGGGGCCAGATTCCCTGAGAGCCTCATTAAAAACAAGAATAATAATTGTCCCAAGTATATTTTGGCCCCTTTGGACTAAACACTGATGACAGAGATTATTCTATAACTCTTAAGTCAGATCTTGTAGATAAAACCATTTTCATGGAGTCCAGTCCCAAACACAATCCCCAGGAACAAAAAATCTAATCACTTTGCTTTTGTATGCTTATGAATAGTGACTTGGAAATTCAGTTCATGAATAACATTCTTATCTCAAAAACTAGGTTATTGCTGTGTTGTTTATATAACCTGGTTCTGATTTCTCCTTCATGTCTTATCATTTGCATAGACCTGAAAGTTCTGTTTGTGGCCACTTTAAAGGTTGTTCTTAATCATTTAAAGCATATAGTCTGAAGGATAATACTTTGTTATTGGGAGAGGGGCGAAGATGACAAGACATCAGGAAGAGCATAGCATGTCATGACTGAGGAGTTTCAGGGTCTGGAGTCTACCACTGGCCAGTCAAATTGTCACATAATGTGATGATCTGTGTGGTGCTGTGATTTAGAAAGCTATGCCACTGGTACTTTAAATATCAGTAGGGCAACCCACAGTCAACAACTTTTAGCAAACCTCCCAGACTAAGACAAATTCAGAAATAGGGGAGGCAAACAAATTCTGAATACTTAACCACTGAAAACTTAATGAATAGTATCAGGATATCATCTTCCAGAAGATGAGGCCCTCAGGTTAGAAGACACTTAAAATACGACTCAGGAAGAACTGCCTCCTCAAAGAAGTGAGGCCTAAAAGACATGGAAGGAGAAACACTTTATGGATTTTCATGTGCTGATGGGGCAAAATTCACACTGAGAAGAAATAGCTGCAAGCATTCATTAATAAGTGGAACATGAAATGCCCAAAATATGAATCAAGGAAAATTGGAAGTTGTCAATGGAACGCATAAAGATTTATATCCTAGGCATCAGTGAACTGAAATGGATTGTGATTGGCCATTTTGAATCAGACAATCATACGACTTACTATGCCAGGAACAACAAATTGAAGAATAGCATCGCATTCCTCAGGAAAAAGAACATTTCAAGCTCTGTCTTCAAGTACAATGCTGTTTGTGATAGGATAACATCCATATGCCTACAAGGATGACCAGGTAATAGTCAAATTTTCACACACCCACTAAAGCTAATAATGATAAGATGAAGAATTCTACTAACTTCTTCAATCTGAAATTGATCAAACATAAAATCAAGATACATTGATAACTACTAGTATCTGGAATGCCAAAAATGTAAACAAAGAAGAAGAACCAGCAGTTGGAAAATAAGGCTTTGGAGATATAAACAATGTTGGGGACAACATAACAGAATTTTGTAAGACCAATAACTTATCCTGAGTTCTGGGGTGGTGCTATAGGATAAGCTAACCACAAGGTCAGTGATTCAAACCCACCAGCCACTCATTGAAACCCTATACAGGGTCTCAATGAGCTGTAGCCAACTATATGTCATTAACAACAACAATGACTTATTTATTGGAAAAAACCATTTTTTCATCAACATAAACAGCAACTGTAGAAATGGTCCTGCCAGATGAAATACAAAGGAATCAAAATGACTACATCTGTGATAAGAAAATATCAAAAAGCTCAGTGTCATCAACCAAAACAAGGCCAAGACCCGGACCATCAATTGCTCATATGCAAGTTCAGATTGAAGGTTAAGAAAATTTAAACAAGTCCACAAGAGCCTAAATAGGACCTTGAGTATATTCAACCTTAGTTTGGAGATCATCTGAAGAACTGATGTGATGCATTAGACACAAATTACTGAAGACCAGAAGAGTTATGGGATAACATGAAGAAAGTCACCCATAACAAAAGCAAAAAGTAATTTAAAAGAAAGAAACAACCAGAATGGATATCAGAAGATACTCTGAAAGTTGCTCTTGAGCATAGGGAAGCTAAACCAAATGGAAGAAATGATGAAGTAAAAAAGTTGAACAGACCATTTCAAAGGGCAGGTAAAGAAGACAAAGTCAGTTATTATAATGAAATGTTCAAAGATACGGAGTTAAACTATCAAAAGGAAAGAATATGCTCACAGTTTCTCAATTTGAAATAACTGAAGAAAAACTTTAAGCCTCAACTTGCAATATTGAAGGATTCTTTGGGTAAAAGAGAATCTTGTGGACATGTGGTCAGGCGGAACCTATCTCTAGAGAAGGACATCATGCTTTGTAAAGGGAGAGTCAGTGAAAAAGTGGAAAACCCCAAATGAGATGGATTGATGCAGTGGCTACAACAATGAGCTCAAACATAACAGCATTGTGAAGATGACACAGGACAGGACAGTCCTTCATTCTTTATGCATATTGTTGTTGTTGTTAAGTCCCATTGAGCCAGTTTCAACTCTTAGCCACCTTGTATAGGGTTCCCAAGGAGTGGTGGATTTGAATTGCTGACCTTGTGGTTAGCAATCCAGAGCTTATCGTACATCAACACGCCAGCACTCTTCTGTGCATAGGTTGCTATAAGTTGAACTGACTTGACAGCACCTAACATCAACAACAATGTAGGCAAAATATGGAATGTCACAGAAGGCATCAAAAGAAGTTGAAAGGAATACACAAATTCACAAGAAAAGGTCAATGCTCAACATTTCAATGTGGCAGTTAAGTAATGATATTGAAGAAGGCCAATCTGCTCAGAAGTCTTTGGGGAACAACAGGTCTCCAGCAAGAGATGGAATACACATGGAAATGCTTTAACAAACTGATGCAGCACTTAGGCTCTCACTCGTCTTTGCCCAAACATGTGCAACACAGTTATCTGGACAACCAACTAGAAGTGCTCCACATACGTTCCCATTCCAAAGAGAGGTTACCCAACTAAAGACAGAAATCATGGTCCAATAGCATTGATATCATAAACAAGGGTTTCTAAAGATAATTCAAAAACAGTTGTGGCAGAAAGAGAGAACAAATCTTTACAGCAAGGATCACTCCCACCCCCTGCACACATGGAGAGGACAGAGATGGGCAACTTGGACATTGGCTACCCAAAATGAAGTGGGCTACAAAGGCAAGAAGTGACTGGCTTACAAGTTTTTAAGAGGGAACCTAGATCCAGAGGACGTGGAGGAAGGTAGAATCTCCACTGAGTATAAGCCAATCTGTCTAGCTAGGGCTGATGAAAGGAAATGCGGATAGGTCTCTCGTGATACAATAGTAAATAATTGTTATCAGGACTGATTGTGAGGGTTGGAAATGTAAAGGCAGACATTTTGTAACAAGGAGGGGAGTGATTAACCTTGCAGCCTAGGAGCGGAGGTCCCTGGGAGCATGAAGGGAAAAGAGCGGAAAGCGGGACCCTACCTAGAGAAGTAGTGATGCCTGAGATGAAGGCAGAGATGATGACGTGGAGAGATGGAGCTGTTGCGGACTTTAGACATAGAGAGGGAGAGGGGCTGTGTGTTGATGACCAGGGGGCAGGCTTGTAGTGTATACCCTTTGGTTGGGTGATGATGCATGGAGGGGATTGTAACCATGGCAATAAAATGATATACAATAGGATGAAGGTAAAACCAATGTTCTCCCATGTAAACTATCACATAATTCACAATAAAGCATTAAAAAAAAAAAAAAAAAAAAAGTTGCAGCAGTTCATCAACAGGCAACTGCCAGAAATTCAAGTAGGAATTAGAACCAACTTTATTGACTGTGCAAGACATACAACTACATGGATCATAACAAACTATGGATGACATTTTCAAGAATGATTATTACATAGCTCTTCATTGTGCTCATGAGGAACCTGTATACATGCCAAAAAGCAATCATTAAAACAGAACAATGGGATGCTGAATTGTTTCAAATCAGGAAAAGTGCACAGCATGGTTGTAGCCTTTCACCATACTTATTCATTCTGTATGATGAGCAAATAATCTGAGAAGCTGGATTATATAAAGAATATAGCATCAGGATTGGAGGAAGACTCAATAACAATCTACAATATACAGATGACACAACCTTGCTTGCTAGAACAAAGAGGATTTGTATTTGCTAATGAAGACTCCAGCTTTTATTGTGGTTTTCAGCTCATTGAAAAGAAAACAAAAATTCTCACAATTTGACCAATAAATAACATCATGATAAATGGAGAAGAGATTGAAGTTGTGAAAGACTTCAGTTTGCTTGAATCCACAATCAACATTTATGTAAGAAACAGTCAAGAAATCAAACATATATTGCATTACACAAACCTACTACAAAAGGACTCTTTATAATGGTAGAAACTAAAAAAAAACAAACAAACAAACAA